CTCTGTGCTTTGCTTCCGTCAGTTTCTCCGGTATCAAAAGTAGCAAATCTTATTTTTTCTTGTTCTTGCATCTAAAGTTAAACCTTCCACATATAAGGCTGTTGTGATACCAAGTGAAAACTAATAGACCGAACAAAGCAGCACTCCCTTTATTACATGATACTCCTCTTAAATAAAATATTTAGTAAAAATGGCAGACACCAAATTATAACACTGCCCTGCCTGACTCCACATACTGACTGTGTCCTATGGAGCAGATTCACACAGCCCTGCTCTATTCTATTCTCAATCTCCCATTATGTTTCCTCTTTTGACTCTGTCCTCCTAGCCGTTACAGTTGTTCGGTTCCTCTCCCCCACTCACTAAGGTAACCGCGCTCCACCAAGCGCACTACAAAACATAACATAGCATTGGTTACTATGTCGCCATCGCCCACTACTGCCTTTTAAACCCCGCGTGACAGCAACGCAACTTCCGTTTCCGGGTCATGCTAGCTAATTACGTCATAGAACCGGCACACTTTACCGAATAGAAGGAAAACGATTGCAGTATATGTCGCAAGTGCTAATCAGAACAATGGCAAGCTGATAACCGAATGAAAAAAAAGATTGAAAGTAATTGCTGGCATATTGCCCAAATCAAAGATGGCGTACGAAATAGTGACCTTAAGTCACGTGATGTAAACAATGCTGCGGGCTCACTGTGTTGAGAGTCCAGTGCTAGATGCATGGGAAGATGGCTGGTTACATGGGGATGTATGAAGAACCGTCTGATATAACGCAGCAACAGGAGAGACATTATTACCTCCTGTCTGAACTGCAGAGCCTGGTGAAAGACCTGCCCAGGTAATGGCAGGATATGGTATATGGCTATATGTATCTGAAACAGCTAATTGAATGGAGCATGCTAATATGCAGTTTGCATTGGGTATTTAGCCATGTTATATCAGTTAGGAGAGTGAAAGGTTATCTTTTGTTTAGCTAGTGTAGTTTTCAATAATTTTCTTAGTATTACTATGTGTTTATACGTCACTTTGATTGAAGATTAACTATGTCAAATGTGTACCTGTCATAGTACACAAAAATTATAATTTAATGAAAATGTGGTAAAGTTGTCATTTACGAGGACAAATAGAAGAGATAGATAATCTACTAGTTGAGGAAATCGCTAAAATGACAACGAAGGGGGAAGTTATCATCATGGGTGAATTTAACCCCTTAAGGACCAAACTTCTGGAATAAAAGGGAATCATGACATGTCACACATGTCATGTGTCCTTAAGGGGTTAAAGGACCACTATAGTGCCAGGAAAACAAACTCGTTTTCCTGGCTCTATAGTGTAATAGGTCCCTCCTATCCTCGGAGTCCCCCTTCTGCCAGGCTCAAGAGGGGTTAAGGGGTTAAACAGTCACCTTTCTCTGACGCTGGGGACTCTCCTCCCTCTTCCGACATCATCCACCAAATGCACATGAATTCAATCGGTCCATGGGAAAGCATTTCTTAATGCTTTCCCATGGACGGTAGTGTCTTCTCACTGTGAAAATCACAGTGAAAAGCGCCTCTAGCGCCTGTCCATGAGACAGCCACTAGAGGCTGGATTAACCCTAATGTAAATCATGATTGCTTCCAGCAGCTCTATTGGTGTTGCAGCGATGTCGAGGCATTGCTGCAATACCCCCCTCATTGCCGGTGGCTGCCGGAGAACACCAGGTGATTGCTCCTCCCATGGAGCCCGGCAGTGAGGCAGAGCATCGGAAGCCATCAGACAGGCTTCCGATGCTCTGCCTCTACTGAGTGCCTCGAGGGGTTAAGGCACTCAGTAAATAAAAAATAAATTAAAAAAATTAAATAATGTAAAATAAATAACCCCTACCCTTCCTCCCTCTCCCTCCTCATGTACTTACCAATCGCTGCCGTCCCCTGCCGGCGATCGGTCTTATTCTTTTGGGGGACGGTCCCCTCTCTGCAAATTAGGACCCCTCTAAAAGAGTCTCCACGGTGCTGCCAGCACTGGTTTGATGGGGGTAAATTACATTGGCCGGCTTCAAAAATGTCCCGAATAGGACATGGGTGCATGATGACCAGCTGTGAAAATTCCAATTTGGAAAACTGGCATGCGCACCCTCCAAATAAGGTATTTTAGCCCCCAGAGAACCCAACACACCTATACATGGGGGGGTATCACTGTACTAAGGAGATGTTGCTGAACACATATTGGGGTGTTCTTTGGCAGTAACCCTTAAAGTTCTCTGTACATGTGTTCTTAAACTGCTGTGTGTTATGGTTGCATGAAAAGAGTCGAAATACCCCAAGTTTAATACCTTAGGTCAGGGGTTTCCAAACTTTTTTTTCAAATAGGGCCAGATTTGATGAAATGAACATGCGTGAGGGCAGACCATTTTGCCTGACATTCTTTGAACCATTAAAATTGAATGCTAAGTAACTATTTTATGCAAAGTTTATAGCAAACCGCATACTTTTAATTTCATCTCTTTATTCTGTCTCTTTATTCCGTCCCTTCTCTCTTTATTCCGTCCCTTCTCTCTTTATTCCGTCCCTTCTCTCTTTACTCTGTCCCTTCTCTCTTTACTCTGCCCTTTTTATTCTGTACATATTTATTCTGTACATTTTTATTCAGTCCATTCTCTCTTTCTGTCCCAGCAGGGAGAAGGAACCAAATTGCGCACACACAAGCCTGTGAATCCCGTGACATCCAAGAGATCACGAGAACACAGATTGAGATCACTGCACGTCCGTCTGCGTTCTCGCAATCTCTTGGCCCCCAATGAATCCCCAAGCGCCGCTCAGGACCGCGGCATTCAAAGATCCAGGGGTCCCGAGCAGCACTCTGGAATTCACTGGGGACCACAACAGCTAGATTTACTAAATTAACTGTGGGGCCATATCTGGAATGTGGGCCAGACTTTGGACATGACTGCCTTAGGTTGTCTTTTTAAAAAAAAATATATACATGTATAGGGTTATTCAGGGATTCCTGACAGATATCAGTGTTACAATGTAACTTTTGAAAAAAAAAAAAGTTTGGAAATAGCAAAGTGCTACTTGTACTTATAGCCCTATAACTTTCAAAAAAAAGCTAAGAACATGTTAACATTGGGCATTTCTAAACTCAGGACAAAATTTAGAAAGTATTTAGCACAGGTGTTTTTTGGCGGTTGTAGATGAGTAACAGATTTTGGGTGTCAAAGTTCGAAAAAGTGTGTATTTTTTTTTTCCCATCATATATTATAATATTATTTATAGTGAATTATATGATATGATGAAAATAATTTTATCTTTAGAAAGACCATTTAATGGTGAGAAAAACGGTATATAATATGTATGGGTACAGTAAATGAGTAAGAGGAAAATTACAGCTAAACACAAACACAGCAGAAATGTAAAAAGAGCCCTAGTCCTTAACTGTAAGAAAATGTAAAAACTGCCTGTTCACTAAGGGGTTAAAGGTAGACAGATAATGTAATGGAGCAGCAAGAAATTATAGCAGAATTCCTGGTTGTATAGGGAGAGGTATTAGCAGTAGAAAGAGGGAAGTGCTCATGCCATTGCAAAGACCCCACAAACTGACTGATCCACTTTAAGATACAGAAGGCATAAAAATAGGAAACCCTGACAAAGTGGCAAGGTCTGTTTTTAAGTTTTATGTTCTGCTACTTCAAACCCTCCCTCAGTTTGTATGCTATTATATCCGCCCAAATACATCAATACCCAACATATATATATATATATATATATATATATATATATATATATATATATATATATATATATATATATATATATATTTTATATATGTGTGTGGATATGTTTGTGGGAAATTGAAGTGCCAAATCAGACAAATGCACAAAATGTGACATTCTAACTTGCTATCCTGTTACACTCTCTACGTCACTACTGTAAAGGGATTCTATAGTGTTAGGACTACAATGTTGTATTCCTAACACTATTGTGCCCTTTTGTGTGTGTGTCCCCTCCGATGTTCCCTGGTGCTGGGTCGCACTTTGCCTCTTCCAATGTCATCCAAAGGGGGAGACCTAATGCGAATGAGTTGCGAGTGCATAGGCCCTCCCCATAGAAAAGCATTGCCTCAGTGCTCTCATGTTGGGTTTTCACTGACACTGACACTGGAGGTCCTCATGCATAGCGTAAGAACGTCCAGCATCATTTAACTGAGTCAAACTCTTTTAGAATCCAGGAAGAGCATCTAGTAGCTGTCTTTTAGACAGTCACATATTGGCAGTCTTAGTCCTGCAATGTAAAATATTGCAGTTTTTTTAGAAACTGCAATGATTACTTTGCAGAACTAAGGGGGACAAAGACTACAGTGAGAAGAAGTGGTCCGGGTGCCTATTGTGGCCCAATAACCTGCATTAAACGTTGCTGTAGTGTTGGTATCATCATGACGTGCCTCAACAGAAAAGTGTGTGTGTGTGTGTGTATATGTATGTATGTACAGTAAAGCATAAAAATCTTAAATTTTTATCTCCACTAAAACTCTACTTGCTTTTTTTTTTTTTCCCAGCACCCAGGCTAAACTAACCAAACAAAAACTAATATTTTTATAACCCTAAATGCATTTCTTACCCTATTTCTAACTGCAACAATAAAGGTAATAACTCAGAACTATGCCTGGTAGTATATATTGTCTTTCACTTGGCTTCCTAGAGCAGTCACAAGAAGCAATCAGTGTGTATTACTAGACTGTTGACTTCTGTGAGGCATACAGCAGGAACCATGATCTGGTAAACTGATATCAATATACTGGAACAAGAGAACACCTCTAGCCACTTTGATCAGATTCTTGGGGAAACGTCACATTTGAGGTATCTAACAAGAGCACAGTCATACCAGGACCCACTGAGGCCTTTCAGGTTGCCCCACACAGTAATGGACAATTCATTGATTGTGTCTTGGTTCCAAAGTGATAAGATTCCTTACTTGTGAGTCATTCAGCAGTAGCCAGTTTTCACAGCAAAACAATAAAGTAAATTGAAATTACCTTTACTAGTGATTAATGAGATCCTTGAGGTTGATGCTGCAAGACTAAATATTTGATATCTGGTTCGTAAGGAACAAACGAAGGTCTCCTCTTTCGGTGATATTCAGATGACTTCTCTGTTTGCGCATAATATGATTTCTCATCTGTGCGTCAGCTCCCTTCCTCTCCCTCCTCAATTCCCCTCCCCCCCTTTTTTTCCCTTTTTTTTTTTTTTTTAAATTTTGTAACCTTCCTTATAGCAATGCCCAGTAGGAAGGCTGAGCTAGTTATCCCACTTACTATTACTTACTATAGCCCACTATAACAGACAGGCACACATACATACAGACACAAACATACAGACACACACACACACAAGTCACACATACAGACAGGCACATACATACATACATACAGACACACAGACAGGCACACACACACACACGCAAAGACACACACATAAGACATACATACAAAGATACATACACACAGACAGACACAAGACACTGACTCCCTCCTCCTTCCTCCCGTGCGGTCTGTGTGTTAGCTGGGAGGAGTGACGTGCAGTCACTTCCTCCCAGCTCTGTGATGTAATCACAGGGGGCCCGGTAGCGCTGTTAAAGCGCCCAGCGCTGACCAGGCCCCCTTACAATTCCAATCCATCGGGTGGCCCTGACCGCATGGGCCACCCGATGGACCCCTCCATATGCGGCCCTGGCAGTTTGCCATGCGGGCTGGGGCCGCAAGTGGTGATGGCAGTACCCGGGCGCAGGGGGTACCACTGGCTCGCACCCGCCCGCCCAATATCTCAAAATTAGAAAATCCCTACCGCCCACCTGGAATCCTGAAACGCCCA